CGGAGCCATAAAGTCCAGTCAACCACAGGTGGGAATAACACTGTGGGTGGAATAACACCCTGACCAGTTCGGCCACAGGACTCTCTTCCTTCCAATGTGTCTATGGGTATCAGCCCCCCATCTTTCCTTCCTTGGAGAGGGAGGTCACGTGCCCATTTGTTCAGTCATTTGTTCGGCAGTGTAGGAGAGCCTGGTCCTGAGCCCTGGCTGCCCTGTTAAGGGCCAGAGGATGATACACTACTCACATTGCCGCTCTAAGGCACCCTCCTACGCCTTGGGTCAGAGGGTGTGGCTCTCCACCTCCTGCGAGGCAGAGGAGGAGCATGGTCGAGTCTGATGGCAACCTCTCTGAGTAGTACTAGCCGTCCTTAAGGGGGGGTTCTGTCATACCTGTTGCAGCACTGCAAACGATTGGTTCCACCTGCGCTCACTGGCTGTTTCGCTGATGAGTGAGCAGTGTATTTAAGCTGCAGCCACACACTCCAAGCGGAGACTCCCTTTGTTCAAAGACTTATCCATTATCAAGACGCCTGTTTATACGCCACGTTCATTTGAGATTTCCTTTTGTTTCAAGTGGAGATTCCTTTGTTGAAAGACTCCTTCAGTATGAGAGGTGCTCGTACAGTATTTGTACCTGCTGATTCAGCAATAAACTTTTGAAAGAGATTTTGCCTTGGTGTGTGGCATTTGGGTCCAAAAGCCTGACAATCCTGACAAATTCATCTTGGATGAGTTCTGCACCTTCCACAGCTTATACTACAGCACACAATTCTAGCCCAGGGATAGTTGTCTCAGACTGTGGGGCCAGTTTAGCTTTCCCTAAGATGAATCCCACTTCAATCTCCCTTTGACTTGAAATTCCTGAGATATGCCACAACTCCAATCGATTTTGTAGATGCATCAGAAAATACACAGAGCTCTGTATATGCAGATTTGGAGAGCGACATTGTGGTGTAAGCACATGAGATATGTAGCTTGCTTAAGTCATACAGTGACTTTTGCCATGCTTCCCATTGCTTAAGTTTTTGTTCTGGAAGTGTATCCCAGTCACATGTATCAATGCTGAGTTCCCTCAGTGCCTTTAATGATCACTGGAGCAACCACACCCAATGGGTCAAAAACACTGTTCACTGTCGACAGAAAGCCTTCTTGTGCTCCTGGACTGAGAAGGTGAAAGTGTCGGTGGTTGTCTCCCACAGCAGTCCCAAACTGCGTTATACTGGAGCATTTTCACCACTGAGGTCAAGGTCCTTTGATATTGCTCTGTCTTCTGGTGCGAATGCTTTGAGGACAGCTTCTCTGTATGAAGCGAACTTGTGCAATCTCAGATTTGATTCACTGAAAGAGGCCTGTGTTCTCTGTAATAAACTGATTGCTTCTGATTCGTTAGGCACGCTGATGAGCCCATCATCTACGTTAAAGTGACGCTTAACAAACTGGATGGTGTCTTCTCCGTGTTTGTGTGCACCTTCATGGATGGCTCTCCTTAGTCCATAGATAGCCACAGATGGCGAAAACAGTGGAACATCTGCTGTGTCAGCCATTACTGCTACGTGTTCCTTGCGGAAGCGGATCAGTACTCCTACGAGTGAGTTATTGAGGTCTGGGCTTTAGTGATGTGTCACAGTACTTTGCACTGGATTCAAATACCACGCGGATGTTACCAGGGTTTTTTGGGTGGTACACTCCGGTGGTTGACAGGTACCAACACTCTTCATTTTCTTCTTGTGGCGGAGCCGCTTCTGCATGTCTGTTGTCAAATATTTACTTCATGAATGTCAGGAATTGATCTTTCAACTCAGGTTTCCACAGCAGCATTTTCACCAGTGAGGTGAAGCGGGTGAAAACCTGTTCATGGTTGTTGGAAAGATGTTGCCGGGGTACTCTGAAAGGGAGAGGTGCTACCCAGTTGTTCAACGTGTCTCTGTACATTTCTCTTTGCATGATTTCTAAAAAGGTTGTGTTCTCAACTGACGATGCAGGTTTGTTGTCGAGATCTGTCCGCTTAAAGACCTGGTATCCAAGATCTCCAATTACACTTGTGTTTCTCTCTACAGAACACCTCTTCAGTCAGTTTCATGAAGGATACATGGAAGGCCATTGTCTAACACGTTTGTCTTGAATGAGCCTACAGTTGGTTTGTGCGTGTTTCCCAAATACGTCTGCCACCAGGACCTATCCTAAATCTAGTTTTTGTGCGAAAGGTGCGTTGTGAGGACCACTGACTAGCTGATGAACTTTATGAACCCTCACAATGTCTCTTCTTAGCAATATGAGCATTTCTGCGTTGGGGTCTAGCCCTGGGATGCACTGTGCTATGCTACGCAGGTGTGGTTGGTGACTGGCTGCGTCAGGAGTTGGTATTTCCGAGCGGTCGTTCAATATGTTGTTACACTCAATTAGTGATGGCAGATGAAGTCTGGTCTTCCCATCGAGAGATTCAATTTGAAACACTTCTGCTCTTATGCCCGATGTCTCAACCATCCCAGCACATTTCCTAAGTGAGTAGGGGAATGGCTGACCTTTGCTTTTGAACAGTTCAAAGAAATCTGATCGAACCAGTGACCGGTTACTTTGATCATTAACTGCTTTCTCACATTCACCTTGTGGATACACTCAAACCAAACAGATCTTTGAGCATGATCTCGCTGTTCACCCCGGTCCACAAACCTGGGTGCAGTGTGAGCTGATGTCTGTACCATAGCCGCCGTGTCCTCCTTCCTTCTCGCCGTCATCTGGTTAGGGTATCGGCTGTCTGGCAGTGTCCAAGTAAATTAATCCTGTGAAATAATCTTCTTCTTTGGCACATTGGAGTTCCATAAGAAGATCTCCTAGGTCCCTCAGTTTCACATAATCTTTGGCCAATATTCTTGGGAATTCATCCAGTCTGTAAAAAAGAGATGTCTCCATTATCTCAGGTGCAGCATAACACTCTTGAAGACGGTCCCAGGCTCTTTTTAATGCCACATCTGGGTTTCTGACATGTACACAGCGAATTATTTTGTTGTGTTTGACGGACTCTGGACCAACCCACTTTATCAGCAGATCCAACATTTCACATTTCAGTAGCTGTAAGTCCTAACCCTGTAGTAGCATTATTGAATGATAACTGCCAGGCCAGATAATTTTCAGGTCTATCTTCAAACTGATAAAGACTTGTACTCACTAGATCCCGACAAGCCAGATATTGTGCCAGATGCTCTGTTTCAGGTACCTGGCTTGCGTTGGATGGAGCATACACAGGAACATATGATGGGGCTGTCGCATTGAGTGTTGGTCTGTGTAGAGGATTTGGTTTGAATTTTGTGGAATGACCACTGTCTCTAGCAGGTGTTGTGTGATATCCACCATGTCCTCCCCTCTCTGCATGAGTGCTATTTAGCAGTAGGTCTTCCTCTTTGAATTAAGCATGGTTGCTGATGTATGGCTGCGGTAGTGATGCATCTTGACTGAATGATCTGTGAGGGATCTCGTTCTCTTCCTGCTCTGCGTGCACAAGGGTATTGCGAACAGATGGAGGATTCCATGTTGCATAGCTTGTTTCTGATAATACGGCTGGAGGGTGTATTGCTTGGATGGACATTGTAGCCTGTGGTCCTTTAATGTCAGCTTGTCCTTGAACATATGCTTTGTGAAGTGTGAGTGCACTCAATTCAGCTTCCAACTTTGCTTTTCCTAAATGTAGCTCTTCCTCTTTTGCTGCTTTTTCTACTTTTAACTTAGCTTCTTTGTCTGCCAAAGCAGCTTGTATCTTTGCTGCCTCTGCTTTAGCACGTGCTTTTACTGCTGTGCTTGATGTTGAGGAGTAGGAGTTTATCGATGTTCTTGTGTGCGCAGATGCACTGTCAGCCTTTCCAAATTCCATTTCCCCATGCTTGTTTTTTGCTTCTATATATGTCAATACTCCAGCTGAATTATACTCTTTTCACTGTTCTGTCCTTGCCAAGGTGTAGGAACTCTGACTAGACAGTTAGCTAAAATCGCTTATATTCATGAATATGAATGATGCCATGTTTCTTGCTTAATTAACTTCTATTCTTCATATTGTAATGAATCCAACTCCAAATGACAAGAGGTCTAGAATACGTTCAATATTCACGAACATCCAAAAAGTGAAAACTAGGAGAAAATACAGAATACAACACACGAGACGTAATCAATTAAATGCCCTAGAATCCTTAACAAATTAGACATACAAATTAAGTTAAATAATGTATAAACAAAACATACGAGTAATGCCTCCACTGGGAATGAAAAGCTAGGGAAGGTGAAGACCTTTCTGGTGTGATGCTCATCTGCACTTTAACGGTTCGCTGAACTGAAAAACGTTTCCCAAGCGTAATAGATGGTTTTCCGATAATCGTTATTACCCATGATGCATTGCGCCGCTGGCCATGTTGTGCAGCAAAAGACACGAATAGGTAGACGTAAACAATCGATAATGACAACAAAAGACAAGAATATTAAATCACTGGAAATAACGGATGGAAAAGACCCATTCGAAGTCAACAAAGCTGAGTGGAAGCGGGCGGACATTGAAAATTAGCCAGACAAGGTATATAATGCGGTATTTATTAACACAATAATACAGCGTGTTAATGTAAAAATCACAGTGGCATGTACGGGTGTAGTTACGATCTTTCAAAATAAAAACATAAAAAGTAAATAAATAAACGCCTGAAGGGCAGAACAACGTTTTACATATATACTGTATGTAGTGCAAAGTCTTTTATATATATGTAAAGTGAATAAGAGAAAATTTACTATAAAAATCAACAACTTGCCTTGCACACTGGAATACAATCTCTGTGGTACCAATGTCATTTACTGGAAAAAAAAAACAATCATGAAAAATGCATTACTTGACCATAAAATGCCATTTAAGTTGGCAGCAGAATATAAATTACAGCTGTGGTATTCTCTGTGAATTCATCTTTGAATATTTCCCTTCTGATCATATATTTTCTCAGTTTCCTCATCTTGTTCTTTATTCTTTGTAGAGTGGAGCTGGAGCCTCATGTCAGAGACTGTGTAAAGAGCTACATCCAGCCCTGGCTCGTGGTCTCTCGGAGGTACTGCTGACCTTATTCAGAGCTTTGAACCATTTTTACTTGATAAAACTGATTTTTATGTATTTTTTCTATATTAAGTTTTTCTTCTAAGTTCTTATTACATAACATGAAGACCTGTCCTAATGGCCTCTGTAAAGAGGATACACTGTTGATGTAAATAAAAAAGCTTTAATAATTACTGAAACATTTAATGTAACATTTCTACAAATCAGATAAAATTTAGACCTTTTTGATCCCACTCCTACACCTGTAAGACGGTGTGGTTTTTGATGTTGAACTGTGCAGCAGCTACCAACTGTCTGAGAAGTTCCATGTGTCCATGTGCAGGAAACAAAAGGTCTGAGAGAAGCTGATAAACATTACATACACACACAGTACCTTTGCATAAAACCTGTTTTATGCAAAAGTACGTCTAGATTGATTAAAAGTGCAGAAGTGTATCAGTTGTAACCTTGCATGTTTTCCCTTGCTGTGTCTGTGTGTGTAAAGGTGCCAGGGCAATGGATGGAGTGTCTATTCAGAGCGTGCTGGACTACACAAACTGCTACTGAAACAGACCTTTGAGTCAGATTTCCAGCCGCAAAACCAGCAGAAAACAGTAAGCACACAACTTAAAAACTAAAAACATCTTTAACCTCTATATCAGTGGAGTCAAACTCAATCACACAAGGGGCCAAACTTAAAAACAGTCTAAATTAGAGGCCAAACAGGATTAACATTTATTGACATTTATTAACAGTGTATTTCTACATCTGGGTCCTGTATTTAACCTATCTAGGAAACATTGGTATAGTCCTGGCATTTGCCTCGGATGTGGCCTGTTCAGCTTTTTAATCCGTCCCGCCAAACCTTTCCAGTGATCATCACTTGGCGGCTCAGGGGCTGAATTTGGGCTGCTGTACCATCCAATCCAACCAGCGACTGGATTGCAAAATTGTCGGGATCAAAGAGAAAATAACGTACCGTACTTTTATTAGAGCAATTGTAATAAACAACAACTGAGAGTAGAATAGACTTAGTATCATAAACATCAAATTAAAGTATTAGACAAAAATTTTATTTCATTTTATTTGAGTGTGCAGTCCTCTAGATGCCTGTCCTGAAAAACACTGATAGATTTTTGTTTTAAGAAAACCATCAATATGTTCTCCTCTGGAGGGCCATGTCAAATGGTGTCATGAGCTGTATTTGCCACTCGGGCCTTGACTTTGACATGTGTGCTTTATATTTAAAGTAACGCTTATGTAGGGTATGTAAAATCTTTAAGAATCTTGATACATTTTTCCTCCAATAATAATTAAAAAAAAAACTATATAGTAATCCCTGCGTTTCGCCAAATATGCTGGAATCGCGTTTGGAATTTTTTGAATGCCTCTCGTGGGTGATCACAATAAAAGTAGGTAATGTGTTAATTCCATGACAGGTAATGTGGCCTAAAAATAGTTTTGTGGAAAAACAGCTGCTGTTGATAAACTCCTCTTGAATAATCCAGTAGACCTCTATCCATCCATCCATCCATCATCATCCGCTTATCTGGGGCCGGGTTGCAGGGGCAACAGTCTGATCAGGGACACCCAGACTTCCCTCTCCCCAGACACTTCCTCCAGCTCTTCTGGGGGGACCCGAAGGTGGTCCCTGGCCAGCCGAGCGACGTAGTCGTTCCAGCATGTCCTGACAGGCGGATTGGTGCAGTGGCCACAGTAATGCAGTCGTGTCCAACGACACCGAAGGATGGTGAGAACAGTCAAACTCAACCCACAGACCAGCTCCAAAGACCTACAACATGATCTTGCTGCAGATGGTGTACTGTGCATCGTTCAACTATTCAGCGCACTTTGCACAAGGACATGCTGCATGGGAGAGTAATGCGGCAGAAGCCTTTTCTGTGCCCATGTCACAAAAAGAGTCACTTGGGGTATGCTAAAGCACATTTGGGCAAGCCAGCTTCATTTTGGAATAAGGTGCTGTGGACTGATGAAACTAAAATTGAGTTATTTGGACATAACAAGGGGTGGTATGCATGGCGGAAGAAGAACACAGCATTCCAAGACAAACACTTGCTACCCACAGTTAAATTTGGTGGTGGTTCCATCATGCTGTGGAGCTGTGTGGCCAGTGCAGGGACTGTTGAAGGTCGCATGGATTCCAGTCAGTATCAGCAAATTCTTGCGAACAATGTTCAAGAATCAGTGACAAAGTTGAAGTTGCGCCAGGGCTGGATACTTCAGCAAGACAACAACCCTAAACACTGCTCAAATTCTACCAAAGCATTCATGCAGAGGAACAAGTACAACGTTCTAGAATGGCCATCTCAGACCTCAGACCTGAATATCATTGAAAATCTGTGGTCTGTTTTAAAGCGGGCTGTCCATGCTCGGAAACCATCAAACCTGACTGAACTGGAGATGTTTTGTAAAGAAGAATGGTCAAAAATACCTTCAACCAGAATCCAGACCCTCATTGGAAGCTATAGGAAGCGTTTAGAGGCTGTTATTTCTGCAAAAGGAGGATCTACTAAATATTGATGTAATTTTTCTGTTGGGGTGCCCAAATTTATGCACCTGCCTACTTTTGTTTAAGTAATTATTGCACACTTTCTGTAAATCCTATAAACTTCATTTCTTGTTCTCTCCTCTGGGTAATTTCCCACTCTTCTGGCTCTCTAGGTCTTGAACAGACGTTGTTATCACTCAAGTTTTCAACGGCAAAGTAGATCGATTTAAACTCGATCCTGCACATTAAATGTCCCCTTTAAGGGGGGGCACAGGGTAGTGTGTGAGGGGGGATTTAATTCACTGTTGTGGCCCATACTGATCTATGCCAACACTATTGAATGTGGGATTAGAGGTAGGGGTGTGAGAAAAGGATGGTCCCCCCCCCCCCCATCCAGGCTGAACACAATGCTGTTTTGTTGTTCCTCACACACTGTGCGCTTGGTCACTAAACTAAACTAAGCATCATTCTTTTCTTTCATTTAGTTAAGTTCCTGCAACTGTTTTTTTTTTAAACTAACATAATTTTAAGCCAAGTTTCCATCCTTTCTCACTGCACACTCTCTAATGGTCTTTTGTCCTGTAGTGTCCAAGTTCCAGGTCAGTCTAACTCCCAGTCAATACCATTCCAATCCTGTAGTTTTGGCATCAGCAAACTACGGCCCAGGTGCCGGATGGGTCTGCTTGGCTTTTAACTCTGGCCTGCCAAACCTATCAAAATGATGTTATTAATGTATATTATCATTATACTTCTGCCTTTTTCCTGCAATGCCCACATTTCCCCAATAGATTGGGAAAAAGGCTAAAAGCATTTTACCAGGTTGTCCTTTATGCATGACTTTGACAGGTAATTTATCTTAGTGTATTAGTTAACATAAACTGTTAAATACAGTGTTAAGTCAACATTAAAACAGCTTTGATTCTTATGTATAGTATTGTCTAGAGCAGGTGTGGGAAACTTTTTGACTCACAGGGCAGAGCAGATAGATGGAACGTGTGAACTGAAATAAATAACATGTAAAAGTCATGCATAAAGGCTAAAATGCTAAAATGCTTTTATTATATTGTACGTCATCTATTTTGGAAATGTGGGTATTCCAGAGAAAAAGCAGAGTATAATGATAATATAAGTAAATTATATAATTTGGAAATGTTTGGCGGGACCGGATTATAAAACTGAACGGGCCCCATCCGGCTCCCGGGCCTTAGTTTGCCCATGCTTGGTATAAGGAATCTTAAACTTTTTGACCTTGACACCCATAGGCCTTATGGTTTAGAATCACAGGTATATTCTATTTACTTTAAAAAACTTATGGTTATGGTTAAATGTTACTCACTTTCACCCAGAAAAGTTGCTCATTTAATATGCAAACTTTTCCTTTGTTTTCTTTCTATTCCCTCATCTCTTACACTCAGACATACATCATTTGTCAGTAATTAATCCATCGTTTCTATTTCTTCTTGCTGCCGTCATCACCCCTCTCTTTTTTATTTTCGTCCCAGGTCAAGTCTCCCACTCTGGCTGTGCTGAATGATGACTCTGGCCGCACACTGACATCCTCTGATTTTAATCTTCGGTGTTTAAATCCAGACCAGAGAGTGGGGGGGCTGCTGGCGTTTAGCAGCCATGAGGAGTTGGACCATTTTAACCAAGAGGCTCGGCTGGGAAATCGACACCTGGAGCTGTTTGCTCTTTACCCACCTGCTGATGAGGTGAGATGAGAAGAGTTGGTTTTGAAGTGCTAAGAAATAAACTGTTACAATTAAACTGTTAACAGTTACCCTTGGTGCCGAAAATTACGTTATTCAGTCACCACTATTGTCATATAACTGCCGCAGATAGAATGACCTGAAAAGAACCACACCTGACAACGTTTTACTTTTTATTCGCTGCCAGGGGGAGCAGAAAGACCAACAGCTTCGCAGAGTTGGCTCACCTAAGTCCCAAAGTGTATCAGGACTGCAGCTCCTTTTATTGAGAAAGTTTCACAAGTACTGGGCAGTTGTTTTTTTCTTTAAGTTTTACTCCCAGGGCAAAGGTCATCTGATTCCCATACTTGATGAAAAACAGACCTCATCCTTTATGGACCTACATTGTAAAAAACCTTTTAGGAGTACCTACTCCTGTCAAGCAGACCATTATTTAACACACTTAGATAACAGTTTATGGTTCAACACACTGTGGTTTAACACACTTTGGTAACTAACTATACATTCTATTTACAGTTACATACAGCAAAGCCTGTCACTGCATTTAAAAAGAATGTTTTTAAATGCATGGAATATAAACTGTACATCTGCAGTGTTTTTCTTTTAATACAATATATATTTATATTTAAAATATCTTTAGTATTAACTCTATGTGCTTGTTTTAAATCCAAACTCAATACTCCCCTGGTTAAAGAGTCAGCCTACAACCTCTAACCACCTGTATACTATTCTTTTTCTTTTTTTTCTTTTTTTATTCTTGTACATTGTAATATTGAATGTATTGTTCTTAATTTATTTGATTGTACAGTTTATTGGCCTGGCCCACACTTTGAGAAGCACTGCTTTATTTCATCATATACTCTCTACTATACGTTTTTTCTCTACATTTTTTCCCATATAAAAACAAACCACCAACTTTCCTACACCTGATAGTTCTTTATTTCAAATACTTCCTTTTTATCCTCATTCTTTACTTTTCTTTAATTTTGCACAGTTTAAAATGTTTTCCTAACATTGTGTTCCAGGAAGAAGCGGTGGAGATCCGTCCCATTCCTGACTGTCCCAAAGAACACACTGGAGACCGCATCCTCATCCGATGCCAGGCCATCAAGTATGTCATAAATATTCCTTACAGTATAAATAGAATAACTGCCTTTTGTTTCTCTTAGAAATTGGACACAAAAAAAACAGCTGTTAGATGTGATAAATTGAAATTGTCCTGTTTATGCAAATCACTTGGCATTTAACCCACACTTCGATAACAAAGTTCATGTACACGGCTGTTTGAAAATGACATGCAGTTTATGTGATAGACGGCAATGAAGAAGGCAATGTAGGAGGGTGGAGCAGTGACTGTTCTGTAGATGATGACTGTTCCTCCATTCCTCCCTCTCTCCCTCTGAGGGAATCATCTCTCTGTCCTCACTCACACATGGACGAATGCACATACACCAGCACACTCCTTTATGCAACACTTTAAAGTCTCAAATGTTTGAGTTGAACCAATTTCTCTGCTCTCCATGGTTTGGCAGCCTTACCTCATATCCTTTAACCCTAAATTCAGACATGTTGTCACACACTAAATTTTAGGTTATTACTTCCCATCATAACAACAACCCTGAGAAACAGAACTGACAAAAATAAAATGGAATCTGAGTAGAGAAAAGCGGCTAAAATGACCTGCCTACAAATATATATTTACTACAATATGCATTAAATATTTTTTATTTTTTTCACAGGTTTGAGATCGACATTGAGCCCATTTTTGCGACAATGGCTTTGTATGACCTTAAAGAGAAAAAAAAGGTAATAAAAAAAAAACATCTTCTTGTCTTAACTTTATTTGTATTAGTCTATATTTATTTTTCTAATGTATTTTAACAATCAATATCATTCATCTCCATGTCCAAGAACCTCCACACTGCCGAGTTTTGCACACAGTTCAATAAAAATAGTTCCGCTTTCCTACTTGCAGGCTACATTGTAGCACAGGCGTGGGCAAACTTTTTGACTCCTGGGCCACAATTATCCTAAAATTGAACAGGGGGGCCAGGTCAGGAGCAGATAGATGGAGCATGTCTGTGAACTAAGATAAATGACATGTACAAGTCATGCATAAAGGCTAAAATGCTAAAATGCTTTTAAAAATGTCTACACCATCTATTGGGGATACATAGGTATTGAAAAAGGCAGATGTATAATGATAATATAAATAAATAAAAATAAATTATATAATTTGGAAAAGTTTGACGGGCCGGATTAAAAACTGAATGAGCATGTGCCTTAGTTTGCCCATGCCTCTTCTATCACACAAGTTCAAAACTTCGACATTTGTTTAGTGTTTTGACACTCACAGCATATTATTTAGTTATAATCTAAATATAATAGTTATAATCATTACTCCCTTGCAGAAGGCACTTTAACACAAATTAAATGGTCTCATTAACTGACCATAGGGATAAATATTAAATGTTTGTGTGTTTAACTTATGATTTACTAAATGCTGCAGCTCGAGACAGCTATTTAAGCTGTTCTTATCTCTCATTAAAAATAAGTAAATAAGGTAAATAGGTAAATAAGTAATACAGTTGGTGAGAAATATTCTTAAAATGTTAGGTTCATAATTAAATAAAATACACAGCAATCTGGGATTTATGTTGTATACTGTTAAAATGAACTCTAAAGAGATGCCTGAAAAAAAACATCACTGCAGGATATCTGAATTTACTGAAAGATAATGTTGCTAAATGTGAAGAATTCTATTATTTCCATGAGTCCAGCTCTGTCTTTTAAGCAATTGTCCTAGGACCATCTCAATCATCCAGGTTGGGGCATCTTTATGCATGTAGACATAAACAGCTAGATTTGCTTGCTTCACTTTTTCTATAGTTTTTTTATGACTGTTTTTTCACATTTAAATTTTTTCTTTTGCTGTCTACAGATGTTCGGTTTCTGCATTACATGCTGTCTCTGTTACCATGCCTGTGTTTGTTTTTTGTTCACATCTACTGTGAAATCTGCAGCAGATGTTCAAATATTTCCATAAAACACCACGTTTATTAAACACGTCCCTATGGTCTGTCGACAGCCAAGGTGTACACTCACCCACAGTTCAACCCATCAAGCGTCCAACTTATGAAATCGGATTCTTGGAAAAAACAAACAGGTTCTTGTGCAGACACACAGAAACTTAGACAGACAGTGTTAGTGACATGCAATCTACACATCTGGAGGGCATTTTTATTGTTGCTGGGGACTTTAACCAAGCCAGCATCAAGACTGTTCTTCCTAACTTCCATCAGCATGTAGATTTTGCAACCAGGGACATCAGGTTGCAGAAAACTATGGCTTGTCTGCAGCAGCAAATTGGCCGGTGTACACATGCGCAGTGTAGGAAAAAAACTATAGGTAGGAAAAAACTTCAGAACACCGGGGCTGCACCGTGCTCTTCCTAGCAGCTGAGCGCTAACGTGTTATATCTCCATTATACAACTCTACTGTGCATATAATTGTGTGGGAAAGGGTGATCAAGGAGTGTGCAGACCAGCTGTCCCACATGCTCACTGACATCTTAAACACATCTCTAAACCAGACCATCGTCCCCTCATGCTTCAAGTCAGCCACCATAATTCCAGTGCCAAAGAAAGCAACCACGCATGCCTTAACGACTTCCACCCTGTTGCACACCCACCATCATGAAGTGCTTCGAGCGGGTGGTTAAGGACCATATTGTCACCATATTGCCACCACCATTCGACCCGTTTAAGTTCGCATACCAGCCTAACCACTCCACTGAGGACACCATTTCGACTGCTCTCCACCTGAGCCTGGAGCACTTGGAGGGAAAGAACACCCACGTAAGGATGCTGTTTCTGGATTTCAGCTCAGCATTCTACACGATCATCCCCAAGGACCTGGTATGCAAACTAGGCCCCCTGGGGCTTAACATCCCCTTTGCAACTGGCTGCTGGACTTCCTCACTGACAGAACCCAGTCTGTCCAAGGGAGCAACAATACATCCAGTGTCATCTCCCTGAGCACTGGCTCCCCTCAGGGCTGCGTTCTGAGCCCTCTGCTGTTCAACCTGATATCCCATGACTGTCGTCCCAGGCACAACACCAACCACAAACTAAAGTATGTGGATGACACTACAGTTGTGGGCCTCATTCAGGATGACAACGAGCTGGCCTACAGAGAGGAGGTATGTCATCTGGTGGACTGGTGTCAGACAAATAACCTGCTCTTGAACATTAACAAGACAAAAGAGATCCCAACCCAGCCACACACCACTACTCATCAATGACACAGCGGTGTAGGTCATCAGCAGCACCAAGTTCCTGGTGGTGCACAGACAACCTTGGCTGATCACTACACACCATCTCACTGGTAAAGAAAACCCAGCAGTGCCTGCCCTTCCTGTGACGAATAAGAAGGGCCTCCCTTCCCCCTCTCATCCTCTCCACCTTCTACAGAGGGACCATCGAGGGCCTGCTGACCAGCTGCATTTCCGTCTGGTACGGGAGCTGCAAGGCCTCAGACTTGAAGTCTCTACAGAGAGTGGTGAGGACAGCGGAGAAGATCATTGGAACTCCACTTTCCCCCATCCAGGAAGTAGCACACAGCTGTTTAGCCAGAGCTCGCCAGGTTCAGTCTGACCCTACTCACCCCCACAATGGTCTGTTCACCCTGCTGGCAGGAGGTTCCGCAGCATTCGCTACAGAACAACAAGATTCAAAAACAGTTTCTTTCCCCTGGCCATCAGGCTATTAAATAACAATAACTACCCACAGTCAGTTTAATGAAAAAATCAGGTACAATACTATTGTGTAAGATTACTGAACAATTAAGTGCAATATCACTGTGCAATATTTCCTGTTCAAATTCAGTGAATTAGCTCAAAGCGTAACTCCTTGAGTGTTTATAATAATAAATTATTTGTTGGTGCCTTTTGTCACATTTCTGTTGATTAATAATAAAATGAAGCAATTTTTTTCATGTAACCCAGCTTTCTTTCATTATTTAGAGAGCATTTCTGTGAGGTCATTTGTCAATGAAAAAATATGGTATTTGCAGTAGTTTAGCAAGTGCTGGCCACAGGCACAGTCTGAGAGATTCCAGTTATTATTCTGGGTTTGTTTTGGCTTCCCAAACCTCTGCTTTGGTGTGGTCCTATGGGATAAAGAGAATGAGAAAGAGAGAGCCGTAATGGCTTTCCAATGAATTGTATCACATGACACATATTGCCAGGCCATAGCAGGACATATGGCTTCCCAGCCAGAGGTCATTTGGGAGCTGAGTGGAGAAACAGTAGAATGGACAGGACAGATCATATTCTACAATTGGTATTGGGTTAAGCACGTGTTTTGGATAATTTCTCTACAGGTTGAGTTTGTGTATATTTCAGTGACATTAACATTTGCCCTCTCTCCTGCAGATATCAGAAAACTTTTACTGTGATCTGAACTCGGAGCAGTTTAGAAATTTCTTGAAACCTCAAACGCCCCACGTAGATCAGTCCACTTTGGCCAGATCTGCCATCTTCTCAGTCACCTACCCTTCTCCAGACATCTACCTGGTAATCAAGGTAATGATCGAAGTTGAATAAACCTTATTTCCAGAATAATGTTTTAACTTATTATTATATTATAGCTATTTTTTAATGATGTCAGTTATTCAAATTCATTCATATTTCTATTATTGTTTTGATTTGTTTGGTTTATTTATTTTTTTTTATTTAGCATCCCAATAACTAAAATCTACTTGTTACGGAAGCGTCTTGCTGCCACACTGAAAAAAAAATTGGCTCAGTTTCACGTAAATACGTGATAAGTTTTGCGTTATTTCATGGTAAGTTTTAGGTTATTACGTGATACATTTCATATTATTTCGTGATACATTTTACGTTATTACGTGATACGTTTTATGTTATTTCGTGATAAGTTTTACATTAATACATGATAAGTTTCAAGTAATAACGTAAAACTTATCACATAATTACGTGATAACTCGTACTTTGGGTGACAACGTATCCAGCTTGTATCGATGGAGCCGTGGCCCTCCAGTTGATCAATCCTTCTAAGTGTACGCATACTAATATAAATCTCATCCACTGAGCCCAATAATTGCAAAATCTCACCAAGCCTCAAGCTAAGCATAATACATAATGCAATTCAACTGAATCGTGTATACGAGCCATATTCTTGCCTCGCAGGGGGGCTTTTATCCATTAATTAAATGCTCACCATATAGACAGTACATACTGTATATCTTAGATTTCCCAAACGAACGTACTACATGTGTTTTATGTATTACCCTGTATGTGTGTATGTGATGCAAAATGCCTTTTTGTTTATTTAAATACTGTTTATCCCTTGTAGGCTAGAAAAATTAAAATATTGGAAATTAAAACATTTTAATGTTTAAAGATTGGATTAAAAAATCCACAATGTAGCTACTGAGGGAGCGAAAGTAGAACCGCAATATAGAGAGGGACACTGTAAGGTGAAAGATATCACGAAATAACGTAAAACTTATCATGTAATTTCATGAAACTAAGCCAATTTTTTTTCTCAGTGTGGCAGCAGTACGCTTCCGTAACTTGTGCACCAAATTTTGTCTGACTCTGATGTTATTTTTTATGGTACTCATAATCCCTACACCACAGAACCACTAAAAGCACCATCCTCCCCGTCATGGAATCGAACCCCGGTCTTCTGCGTGACAGGCGGGGATACTTTCTACTATACTAACGAGGGGATATCTGTAGCAAGGAATTATATCTATCAAGTGGAAGTCAACGCTGTATTGATTTTCACAGCCCTGTGTAAAGTAAAGTTCATTTATAAAAGTCTTTATAAATGAGTGTAGAAGAAGTGACTTCCTCTGGAAGCCTTTTCTGTTCTATTTTCTGTGTCACAAAAGACACAAGACTTGTTTAAACCTCAAATCATTTTTACATGCCCTGTACTGTAGTTCATTGCAGGACTGTCTGTACAGCTCTTTCCTCTTATACTGTACCATTGCCAACACACTATAGATTTTAATTTGGTGTGATTTTTGCTAATCCTTCAAGACCGGTTATGCACTTCCTGTCTGTGTTTCAGATTGAGAAGGTTCTACAGCAGGGGGAGATTGGTGACTGTGCCGACCCCTACATGACCTTAAGGGAATGTGAATCAGCAAAGGTAACGTTGCAGAGTTAATGCTGTTGGTATTGCCAAATACAAATCATTATCACAGTCAAGAGCATACTCATGTCCACTGTTGTGTTTTAAAATGAGACATCTTTAATGGAAGGGAATTTTCCCTACTTTTGTCAGAACAAGGACAAGCTTGAGAAACTGCGTGGTCAGGCAGAGGCATTCTGCCACAGACTAGGACGCTATCGCATGCCTTTTGCGTGGGCCACTGTCAATGTCATGGAGGTCATCTCCACCGCCGCCATCGAACGTGACTTCACAGACTCCGATAGCATAAGAGGTATGTTATCTTGTTCATTTGTGTGTTGACCTATTAAGCATTCAACAGGAACATATTGCAATGACTTTGCACTTGAGTGCATTTCTGATGATTGTGTTTTGATGTGTGTATAATGTGACCTGTGACCCCACCATTTTTTTTACCCCCAGTAAAATCCAGCAGCATCGATCGGAAAGCACAGCTTCCCAGAAGAAACTCCGAACGCTTCAGCACTCTTGATGATCAGTTTTGTAACATCTCTTCCTTCAAACCTGCCACCATCACTATCAGCACCATCTTCAAACAGGTCAGCCCACTGCACACACACACACACACACACACACACAGACACACACTCACCCAGTGAAAAATGCGAAACATGTTTTTACTTCTTAAAAACAAAGATGTGTAAGGAGTAGTCTAACCATCTGAATGATTGCCAGGTTATGTTACACAACATATGGTCAGGGTACTGTATCTGTCTCCCAGATCAGTTTGATTCCCCTTTTGAAATAATTTAAGTAGAAACAGAATGGTAGCACCAAAATTTATATTAAGGAGTCCTGAATATATGGCCTGTCATTAGTACCTCTCTTGGTGGTAACTGATCACATAAGATAATCCTAAATTATTTAGTTATATTATATTATATATATTTATATTTAATTAAAAATAAATATAAAAGCGACAGTTTGTGCTACCTGTGTTTCTGACACAAACTGTTTTGTTGTGTTTTTTAAAACATGTTTTCCCTGGCGCCTTGCTGTAACCCTTGTCTATTGTAGATATACACCTATTATGAATTCTTACACTTACCCTATTTTCACTCTCATTCTAAAACAAACTCCAAACTACCAATTTGAATACAGGAGGGTGACCGTTTGAGTGATGAGGACTTGCTCAAGTTCCTGGCTGACATCAAGAAAAACTCCACTCCACAGAGAAGAATCAAGACAATACCAGGTAAACTCAAATGACTTTATAGGGTGTTGGAAACGTGTAAGCGTTAGCCTATCATGTGTGTACATGGGATCATGAGTTGATATCCAGCAGCAAGTTGGCTTAAACCTTATTTATACTCATTTACGTATTATAGGTTTCCAACGTCACATTACATACTCCCATGCATACCTTATTTTTGACATGGTTGTTAACCAATACACACACACACATGTCTAACGTTAATTTCCAGCCAATGTTAGTTACTCAGAAAGAAACTTAAAATTAGATCCAAACAGAGACAGTGAATGTGAGCTAAACTGCACAACACTGCCCCTATAATATCAAGTGGCAGTGGTGAAACTACATGTTATAAATGCAGAGTACAGAGGAAAGACCTGTGTGCATAAGGAGAGTTGAGCTTAGACTTTAAAACAAAAAAATAGTTAAAGATTTATATTACGCTACTACAAATATATTGCTATAATTACTGAAATATAAAAACAACAATGTTTTACTCTTGTGTCCTTGAAAGATACATGTAAGTCTTTGGATCTTTTTCGGTTTTTCTTATGATATTTTTCCTTATAACCAGCAATTAATATATAATTTCAAGGCATCTCACAATATGGAATGCTACGTTTTGAAAGAAGTTTGATGCTCACTGACATCTAAGTTTTTGATAAAGATTGGTTAGCATTGTTAAACCAACACAGCAGTAGGAACAAAAACATTAACAAAGATTCTCGAAAATGACACAGAATGCTGTAGAAGTGAACTAACCAATTGTTATATTTATTTACATAAACTTTTTTTATAGAACACATTTTTTCCTGTGTCATTCAGGATGCATCAAACTGGACATGTCTCCAGTCCAGGACACACCACTTGGTTGTTTGTCCACTGAGCTAATACCACTCATTCCACCAGCTGAGAAGACAATTCGTCCAGTCAAGGAGGTCCTGGAGTTTCCCTCCAGTGAGGTTTATGTCCCCCATAGCATTTACAGGTAAGTCGAAGCATCTGAGACTGAACGACATGTAACTACCATTATATGTCTAAGTCCCATAATTTCCAGACTATAAGCCACTACTTTTTTCACACGCTTTGAACCCTGCAGCTTAAACAATGATGTGGTTAATTTATGGATTTTTACGGTCTAGTGAAGTTCATACCGGTAGCGATCAATGACTTTTCTGGTAGGCTACTGTGTGTTATACTAGTAGCGTATGTCTGTCTGTGAATGTCTGTGTGTGTACATGTGCGTAGGGCGCGCAAGAGAGAATGTTAGCGAAAAGTTGAGAGCAATTTGAGCCCTGTCATGTTGAAGCGTGTTTATGTACTGCTGTGCTCGGTGTGGCTGATAATACAGACCCCAACTTCTGTTTCTGTTAACCTCTGCTGCGGACAAGCACAACATGAAGGTAGTTAAACCAGCCGTATGACAGGCACTGTCCGAAAAAAAAAAGAATTTATTTAATTAAAAGTGAAAAAAATCTTTCTGTGTAACATCAGAGAAGTGTGGCCTGGAATTTAAATGACAAACTAATGAATCATATACAGACTTGTTATCTCTCACACTTAATTTGTCTAAAAGGCAACAATAGTCATGTTGGTTATGTCATTCTGAATTTCCATCCAAGAATCTGTTGAAAACGTGTTATTGACCAACTGAAGCAGTAATGAAGCAGTTAGTGTGGCTGTCGCTATTGTCAGCACAAAGCTCACTTTGCCAAGGTTCAATTTGTGAACCAAAACACAGGTTATAATCATGTGAGAACAAGTGTGGTATTACACACTGTTGTTCTGTGACCATTTGTTGAGCGGAGTTTCATCTGAGTATGCAAGGTTTTTGCACAGATTACAGTATTGCATCAAAACCACGGGCAATGGGCAGTCCACCGTACTGGTTGTTTTGATCTGTCTCTGACAGTAGCCTCAACTTATCATTACATGATGAAAGCGTTTTCTAAAGAAATTAAAAATTGATGTAATTTAATAGAGGTCGTAACTAAACATGACATTTGTGTAATCGTCCCTGTGTCTTTGTAGGAACATGCTCTTCATCTACCCCCAGAGGCTCAACTTTGTCAACAGACTGACGTCAGCCAGAAACATCACCATTAAAATCCAGTTTATGAGAGGAGAGGATCCCAGCTGTTCTCAGAAAGTAAGTGCTGCTGGTCATTATACTAGTTTAATTGGTGTTTCCTTCAACTATTTTAAAAGCCTTTATTGATATGAGGATACCAGAGTGAAGTTGATTATGTATGGTGTTTCTGTAAACAAGATTAAAAAGATTGGAAATTAAATTAGATGTTTGTTTGTTTTTTTTGCTGCAAAACACAGGAAATTGCTTGTTTTAATGGATATGAATTATCTGACTCAACAAAGTCTCATATGGCTTTGATTTCATGTAAAAAAATTTAATCTAAATAATTACAAAGCTTTGATGTGAATTAATCACAGTTAATCATGATAAATCAAGACAGATCAACATTTCTAAAAGTGCTTAACAACATCCTAACCCATCCTATTTATTATTTTTTATTTATTGTTTATAATTATTTTCCTAATATATTTAATATGTATTTCTTTTTCTTTTGCCTGTTATTAATTGTTTGAATAACCTCAGATTCAACTCTTTTTCAGGTAATATTTGGAAAATCAAGTGGCGCTGAGTTTCTGACGGAAGTCTACACTCCGGTGACCTACCATAACAAGCAAGTGCACATCACTGAGTCCCATTAAAATATTAGTGATACCCGTTTTATATCCACACCGTCAAGCGCAACTCTTTTTTTTCTTGTATTTTATTTATTCTCATCTCTTTCCTGCTCTGTCTTTGTTTACACCCATCCCTCTTCTCTGTCCCCTGTTTCTCCCATTCCTCTGTGTCTCAGATCACCTGACTTTTATGAGGAAGTGAAGATTGCGCTGCCAGCATTCCTGACAGAGAGGCATCATTTGCTGTTCACGTTCTACCACATCAGCTGCCAGCAGAAGCAGAATCAGAGTGGCAACTGTGAGACTCTCATTGGTTACTCAGTGAGTGTTTTCTTTTTCTTTTTAAAGAGCACGATACAAAACAACTGTTAGTCAGCAGTTATCAAACATTAAATCTGATTTTATTTGCCAATTGAGTACTCATAACTGATATGCTGTTTCACTGCTGATTGACTTTGATCCAGTGGCTGCCCATCCTTAATAATGACCGCCTTCAGACTGGCCAGTTCTGTCTGCCCATCGTCTTGGAGCGACTACCCATGAACTATTCTCTTCACACACCTGAGGTAGAAACGTGAACCTATTTCTTTAAACTTCACCCAAAAAATGCAAAGGTATTGCAATTTCAAACTGGTTTATTCCCATGAAGTCATTGGATTTCAAAAGTTGTCTTTTTAAAGTTGGCCCATGAGCCACAAAAACTAACAAAAACACTTGATATTCTCTATTTACACCAGGTGCAAGGTGTTGTAAATTTCAACCATGTCAACAATAGTTGTATTTCCTGTTTTTTGTGCAGAAACTTCCTCCACAGGTTCCTCCAGTCAAATGGATGGAGAGTCATAAAGGACTTTTTAACCTGGAGATTCAGGCTGTGTCATCTGTGCACACACAGGTGAGTTAGGGTAGCACACAAACATTAACCCAGTAGTGAGATTTTCTTATCTTCTAACTACTTCCCTGTCTGTCATACACTTAACACTAGTGTGCACTAAAAATAATTTCATAGTAGTCATTTGTCATGTTAGAATCCATCTGTCTGTGTCTTTCTTCATCTCTTTTCTTTCTATGCCAGGACAACCACCTGGAACGGTTCTTCACGCTCTGCCATGCCTTAGAGGGTGGAGCAACATTTCCTCTGCGGGTCAGGGAAGAAAAAATTCCAGAGAACAAGCTGGAGCATGAGCTGAAGCTCAGCATCGTCTCCCTGTCCTCTTCTAATTTAGAGCCTCTGGTCCTCTTCCTCCATCTAGTCCTTGATAAACTCTTTACCCTTATCATGCAGCCCATGGTCATTGCTGGCCAAACTGGTACAATCTGAAATATTGAGTCAAAAACAAAAACTCATCCAAGCAATGATTTCGATTATTAAAAGCCATTCATTCATTCATGTGTTTTGCAGCCAACCTGGCTCAGATAGCCTTTGAATCTGTGGTGTCAATCGTCAACAGTCTTCACATCAGTCAGGAGCTGATCAGAGATCAGCAGGGGAGAAACAGCCTATTGGCCACCTACCTATACTGGGTGTTTAGTCTGCCTGATCCCCCTCGAGACATGCCACACATAAGTAAAAACCCCACAGATTCCTAAACAATATTTATTTTTTCCACATTATCTCTGTTCTGTATTTTGATCGTTTTGATGCACTTTGATGATTAAAATCCTGTTTTGTCACTTGATTAGATTCAACGAGTGTAATAAATTCGACAGAGAGTCGTTACAGCACCATAGGTCGAGCCACGGCAACAACTGTAGGAAATATGCTCCTGCAGTCGAGAATTCGCAGCAGCAGTAACCCTGACATTCCTGGTCCTCACTCCTCTGCTGAAGATGCTGAAGTTAAAAACATCCTCTCTGCCAAGGTACGGTAGTTTTCAATACAATATCAATATCTCTTTTAGATTGAATTGAATCTATGAAACCCTTGCTAACTGCCTAGAGCAGGCGTGGGCAAACTTTTTGACTCGTGGGCCACAATTGTCCTAAATTTAAACTCTAAATTTTTGACAATGGGGCCGGGTCAGGAGCAGATAGATGGAGCGTTCGTGTGAACTAAGATAAATAACATGTAAAAGCCATGCATAAAGGCTAAAATGCTAAAATGCTTTTATCATTTTCTATGCCATCTATTGGGGAAACGTAGTGATTGCAGGGAAAAGGCAGAAGTTGGCAGGCCAGATTAAAAAACTGAATGGGCCGCAATCAGAAGAGCTGGAGGAAGTGTCCGGGGAGAGGGAAGTCTCGGTGTCCTTGTTCAGACTGTTGCCCTCGTGACCTGGCCCTGAATAAGCGGTCGATGATGGATGGGCCTGCAACCAGGCCCCGGGCCTTAGTTTGCCCATGCCTGGTCTACCACATACATTATTCTGGAGAATAATTAACATTCGTTATAGATTTAATAAAATAAACCATCTGTTTGTCTGACCTATTTTCTCTGAAGTCCTATTCTTCACTCAGCAGTATATATTTAAAAATCCCAGCACACTTCTTCAGACACACACACACACAAAAAAGTAATTTTCTCTTCATTCCCACACTACATTAGGTATTGTAATTGTCCATTATCCACTTACTCTAATGAAAGCATCTATCACATTCACTCTGATGGAACCTACTTGTGTTTTTGTCTCCAGGGTCTCAACCACCCAGGCTGTCGTATGTCTACCTACCTGGATGTAAACAACCATCAGATTCCTTCAGGAAACACCAGACCCTCGAACAGAAAGGTAGCCTTGAAGTCTAAGCCATTACCTTCAATATCCCTCTATATGAAAATGTCATGCAGATTTTCATTCATTTATGATTCAGTAAGAGGAAAATCTTCAAGCAAGGAAAGACTACACCAGGCATGGGCAAACTGCGGCCCAGGAGCTAGATGCAGCCCGTTCAGCTTTTAATTCGGCCCCCAATACTTTTCCACTTTTTTACTTCTGCCTTTTCTCTGCAATACCAACACTTCCCCGAAAGATGGTGTAGAAAATGCAAAAAGCATTTTAGCATTTTAGCCTTTATGTATAACTATTGCATGTAATTTATCTTCGTTCACAGGAACACTCCATCTATCTGCTCCTGACCCGATCAATTTTAGGACAATTGTGGCCCATATATATATATGGGCCACAATTGTCCTAAAATTGAATATATACACAATATATACGATCTATACATTATACTATTGCTTGGAGGTGATAAAAGAATTAATTCTGTTAATTAAGACTTTGCTATTAACTAAACACAATTTGGAAAATAGCAATATTTGACAAACGTTTTTCAATTCAACTGAATTTGGTTTGTCCACATTACTTTTTACAGTTCTTCTCCTTTCACAGAATAGTGCAAACAGTGCAGTTACAGGCATTATGTTCAACATTTTAAGCTTACTTTAGCTAGCTCTAGTGTCTGGCAACTCATTGTGATCACATCGAGCCTCATACAAAAAGAATAGATAGATAGATGGATACAGTTTCTTAAAATGTGATAAAAAACAAAGTAGTTCTTAGTTGTTTTTTAGTTGGTGTCTTTTCTTTATGTTTAGATCAGGGATTTTCAATCTGTGGCTCCTGAGTCACATACTGTGGAATTCAGTAAATATGTTTGTTAGTTAATTGTTAGTGAGAGCTGGAAGCGCATCCAACGACGGCACTTTAAAGTATAACAGAGTATTTTCATTTGGTGGCCACAAGAAGGCCGCGTAACACTAATTACTGTTACTACTAGTCATGTTGTCTCCTGTACTCACAGCAAGAACAGTAATGACCCAGATGTTATTTCCTACAAATTCATAGCATTAACTGTGGTTTGTTGTTTTTTTGTCTCTCTCTGTCTCCGACAGCAGTTTCATGAGGAGCTGGCCCTTCAGATGGTTGTCAGTGCAGGGGTCTGCAGAGAGAACGTCTACAAATATGCCTGGTTCTTCTTTGAGCTGTTGGTCCGTGTGTGTGTGTGTGTTTATGTTTGGCACATGCTATTTTTTTATTCGTACTTAACAGACACATGCTGTGAATCAAAGAGTAAAGATCTGCTCTGGATGTTAATGATAAATGGATGAATGATGAAACTAAATAGAGCATGACCTTGTGTTTCACCCCTTAGAAGATAAGTTATATTTTATGGAGTGATGAAGGGCATTTAGAATGTTGTAGTCAATGTCTAACTGAATCACTTCATAACTGTTTTGTTTTGGAGGTGACTTATCACTCACCCTCACTCCAGTTCCTTCTGTTCGCTCTGTAATAAGTTATCTAATAGATGCTCACTTTGATTACAAAGTAAACTTATTTAGCTTCTAATTAAAGGGAAAATACAATTCTGACCTGTTACATTAATCCCATTCATTTTTACCGTCAAATCAACTTTGGATGAATAATTGAAAAATTATTAAATGTAAATCAATCACTTTACTTTGTTGTGTTTTGTTGTGTGACCTCATGATTAGGTGAAAAGCATGGCTCAGCATGTGTCTCAGCTGGACAGGCACAGTGTCCCACGCAGAAATCGCTTCTCTGACCGATTCAAAGATGACATCACCACCATCGTGTTGGTGGTCACAGCGGAGATCGGGACTATCCTTGTCAAACAACAGAAGGTAAAATAAAAGCAAGCCTTAAACAAAAAGAATATCTGATAAAGTTTCTTAAAATGTAATAAAAAGCAAAAGTAGTTTTTAGTGTTTTTTTTCTTGGTGTCTTTTTAACCTGTGGATCTATGGAGTCACATACTGTGGCTCTTTAGCCTCATTAAAATGGCTACTGCAATATATCAAATTTAGCCTTACTGTGATACACCAGCATTATAAGTAGGTAGCACATAGAAAGAAGGTGTAATTTTATACTAATGGCGAAGGTTATGCCAATTTCACATGGTACCAATTTTTACCTTGCTTGCGAACAGCAGAACAATATAACAGCACTGTCCTCTTAACTCAGTACTTCTTAAACAGTGGGGCGTCTTCCCTGGGTGGGGACGTGAGGGGCTTCCAATGGAACATGGCACGATGGACATACAGTGGTTACGGAAAGTATTCAGACCCCCTTAAATCTTTGACTCTTTGTTATATTGCAGCCATTTGCTAAAATTTTTTACCTCATTAATGTACAAACAGTACCCCATATTGACAGAAGAACACAAAATTCTTGACATTTTTGCAGATTTATTAAAAAAGAAATTCTGAATTATCACATGGTTATAAGTATTCAGACCCTTTGCTGTGACACTCATATATTTAACTCAGGTGCTGTCAATTTCTTCTAATCATCCTTGAGATCAATGCAGTCCAGCTGTGTTTTGATTATACTGATTGAGACACCTGTATATGTAATACCTTACAGCTCACAGTGTCAGAGCAAATCAGAATCATGAGGTCAATGGAACTGCCTGAAGAGCTCAGACAGAATTGTGGCAAGGCACAGATCTGGCCTGCACTTAAGATTCCCAAGAGCACAATGGCATAATCTTTGAATGTAAGACGTTTGGGACGACCAGAACCCTTCCTAGAGTTGGTCGTCCAGCCATACTGAGCAATCGAGGGAGAAGAGCCTTAGTGAGAGAGGTAAAGAAGAACCCAAAGATCACTGTGGCTGAGCTGTAGAGATGTAGTTGGGAGATGGGAGAAAGTTGTAGATAGTCAACCATCACTGCAGCCCTCTACCAGGCTTTATGGCAGTGTGGCCCAATGGAAGCCTCTCCTCAGTGCAAGACACATGAAAGCCCCCATGGAGTTTGCTATAAAACACCTAAAGGACTCCAAGATGGTGAGAAATAAGATTCTCTGGTCTGATGAGACCAAGATAGAACTTTTTGGCCTTAATTCTAAGCGGTATGTGTGGAGAAAACCAGGCACTGCTCATCATCTGTCCAATACAGTGCCAACAGTGAAGCATGGTGCGGTGGGCATCATGCTGCCTGGTTGCAATCGAAGCAAAGATGAATGCGGACAAGTACAGGGATATCCTGGATAAAAACCTTCTCCAGAGTGCTCAGGACCTCAGACTGTGCCGAAGGTTCAACTTCCAACAAGACAATGACCCTAAGCACACAGCTAAAATAACCAAGGAGTAGTGTCACAATAACTCCATGACTGTTCTTGAATGGCCAAGCCAGAGCCCTGACTTAAACTCAATTGAGCATCTGTCGAGAGACCTGGAAATGGCTGTCCATCAACGATCACCATCCAACCTGACAGAACTGAAGAGGATCTGCAAGGAGGAATGGCAGAGGATCCCCAAATCCAGGTGTGAAAAACAAAAAAGAATCATGGATGTATTAGCTCAAAAAGGTGCTTCTACTAAGTACTGAGCAAAGGGTCTGAATACTTATGACCATGTGATATTTCAATTTTTCTTTTTTAATACATCTGCAAAAATGTCAACAATTCTGTGACAGTGTCAATATGGGGTGCTGTATGTACATTAACGAGGAAAAGAAATTAACTTAAATGATTTTAGCAAATGGATGCAATATAACAAAGAGTGAAAGATTTAAGGGGGTCTGAATACTTTCCATACCCACTGTAAGTCTACCAGTGCTGGAATGCTTGAATGATAACAAGCCAATGGCGTGAAAACATTTCTGTCCTCGAGGGGGGTCATGACAGAAATGAATTAAGAACTGCTGTCTTAACTTAAGATCTGGTGTGCAATTTTTAGGAAGAGCAGAGCTATTGACCTGAGGTGCATGTAGAATTTCGGACCTCGTGTTTTTCTCTGTGGTACAACAGATGAAAAACGAAAACTATAATTTGTCATCATCTTATTTCTGTATTTTTTTTAATCTGTAGTGTTACTATGGTACTTAAAACTTTGTCCACTGCACTACTGCCATCATTTAAATTGTCAATTTATTAGTTTTATTTTTCATTTACTGATATAAACATAAAATGTTAANNNTGAACCCATATCAAAATATACGAGTTTAAGTCCAACAAGTAATTACAGGTATTTGCCTTTATTGCATTTTTTTTTTGTGCCAGGACTTAATGTTGTACCCCTCATAGCACCAGTAAGGCAGAGGCAGTTTAGGTCTCTGTGGTCCCCTCCAAACTGCAGGTTGTTATTGTTTCCTAAACTAAACACAGCTGAGTTATTAGCTTTTCTTACTTGTTCTTGTCGTTATAGGAAGTAGAGCAAGCAGAAAAGGTCAACATTAGCCTTGCCTTTTTCCTCTATGACCTTTTGTCTCTGATGGACCGAGGATTTGTTTTTCAGCTGGTAAAAAACTACTGCAACCAGGTAATACAACCAAACAGCCAAACCAGACTTCCACAGCCTAAATCTCTGAGTGCATAACGCTTGGTCTGAGAGAGCTGCCTTAAGCAATCGGAGCACAAAACCGAACAATGCAGAGCATCTTCATTGTTTGGCTGTATGAGGCTAATGTCACCATTATTTGCCTTATTCTCCCTCCAGATGTCAGCGAAGAATATTCCAATGCCAACTTTGATCAGCATGCGCCTGGAGTTCCTGCGAATCCTGTGCAGCCATGAGCACTACCTCAACCTGAGCCTTTTCTTTAGCAGCCAATCCTTTGCCACAGCCTCACCATGCCCCTCCATATCTTCACAGGTCTGAACACCTGATTATCAGTGTTTTGTTCTTATTGCACGGTGTATAAAATATGACTTTTAGCCATTTTAGCCATAACTTTTGTTTTTTCCCTTATAGGGTTCTGGATCCTGTAGTTTCCAGGAGCAGCAGACCATCCTGGGCCTGTTTGAGCTCTCTCAGGATTTCAAACACCAGCATTACTTAACGGGTCTGCTGCTGACGGAGCTCAGTGCTGCTCTTGACATGGAGTCAGAGGGGTAAGCAAATACAAAGGCATGTTATATTTAATTCTGAACAGTGTTATAACTAAGCTGCGGCATCAGTGCAAGTCACGTCATTGTTTTATCTTGTAAAATAGAAGTACAGGCAATTAAATATCCCCAAATGTCTGCGTTCTGTTTAGCTGTGAAGTCATCGATGGATTCAAATTAAGCATTGGTCTTTAAATACAAAACACGTGTGTTTCTACAGAGGGAAAGTTCAGAGAAAGGCCATCAATGCAATTTACAGTCTGCTTTGTTCTCATGATCTGGACCATCGATGTATTAAACCTGAGGTTAGAGCTAAAGTGGCAACACTCTACCTCCCCCTGGTGGGGATTGTAATTGATTCCACCAATTATCTGGATTTTACTGGTAAGCTCACACAAACAGACACACACACAAATATTGATCCAACATGACAAGCTCTAGCTCTGCCTGTAATACATGATAGAATCTACCTTTTTATTCCTGTCTTCTTTCATCCATTTACTGCCTACTTCATTATTTTTGTTATTTTGATGACACTTTAGACTATGACATATTCTACTCTGTAAAAAATTGTATAATATCATAATTTTATTTATGAGTCACTAGGAGTGTAAGATGATCATGTTGTCTATGAAGATTCCCAGTCATCCAGGTCATGGTCAAGTTTAAAAAAGTTCTGTTGGGCAACTGGATGTGAATTTTCAAAAAGAAGACGTTTCACCTCTCATCCAAGAAACTTCTTCAATTCTAACTGGTGGTGGGGAGTACAGCATATATATACTCTAGGTGTAAAAAAATAAAGCTACTACAGCTCCACCCTGTTGGGTGGGGCCATGGGGTCAACTGTGAAAGTGTAAACAGTCATTAAGAGTCTGATGGGTCGTTGTGGTCCCCATCAGAAAGGTTTCGGTCACCTGCCTCTTTGTTGTGTGAAACTAAGGTGAAACTTTTGGGTATTGTTCCTAAAAGTGCTTTGTATGTGAGTGATAGGTTGTGTCTGAGTCCACCTCCTCTGTTGAGGGTTGGTTTTTCCAGGTTGACAGCTTCTTTTATGCTCTCTCAAACCATCTGTCTGGTGTTGGTTAAAGATCCTTCCAATTTTTTCTGAAACTCCTGAAATGTATGGAATGATGACACCCCCCCCTCCTGCTGTCCTCCCTTTTATGGGCCTCTTTTTTGTTTTTAAAAAAAAAGCCCATCTGGGATAGCCACAGGTCTTGAGAGCTGTCCTAATGTGTCCCTGTTCTCTCATCTTACCTCTGTTGGTGGTGGGAATGG